ATTGAAAAGCAGTGTCATTTTTATTCGAAAAAAACAGCGTTATGATAAACAGAACCTTTGTCTTTCCTTGCGTCTATAACCGTAGAAATAGAAATCCTCTAAGTAAAAGGCTTTCAATCGTTAGATTTCTCAAACAACGCATATCACGGAAACATTGAAGGTTAATTAAACGCACGTACCATTTATCACCGGCTGGAAAACTGCTATTCCGCGAAATCGATAGACCGCGAATCCAAGAATACAACCACCAGCACTAAATAGTACTATTAAAATACTCCTTAAGAAATCAGACCTCAAAAACAATGATAACATACCTGCTGATCAGCATTGAAAATATGACGGGCGACCAGCCCTCGATAAGCACGTATTTCGTGCTAGGATTCTTTAGGCTGACCATCAGCAGCGGTGGTATCAAGAACAATACCAGTACGATAACAAGAGGCGGAACCCAAACATGGTAACCTAAATACGTTCACAAAGAGATAAAGTAAAATAAGGCAACGATTTTACTTTCGCTTCTCAAAAACATGTTTCCGAAGAAAGCCAAAAAAGCCAGGGTTGTCAAATCGCCTAAACTAGCAGCGATAGGAGTGGCAACGTTGTCCGGGTTGATTTTCATAACCCGTGATAACAGCACCACCGTGACCATTACGCCACCTAAAACAAACTTTCACTGTTAAACAAGCGATTCTATATTAGCGAAAGATTGTCACCTGCTAGCGTTACTTTACGCGCTTACGGTAACTGCGTTGTTGATTTACACCGGATACGTAAGATTTACCTTTGACTAAAGCTTCGACCTTAATTAATCAGCCTGACGTTTGTGATTCTCCATTAATTCTTAATAAAAATACATACGTTGAATCGTACTTGAGGCAAAATATGTATCGTGTAATCAAAGTATAAGTTTCTACGTCAGTCGAGGCGTTTCGTGAATAAAGAACATTGTCAGTTTGTCCTGAAGATGATACTAGTGCTGCTTGTGATACGTGAAATGCGTCGATAGCAAACTACAATAGACCAGTCGATAAATGCATAGACTCAATCGAAATAACCCAGGATTGGAATTTCAGCTGGATCACTCCTGTTTCGTTCTTCTGAAGTAGATGAGTATTTATTCAATATGAAAAACACATAAGTCGATACGCTGAGAGCCAATCAACCGCTTATAGTGTCTTGTAACAAATTAGGCGTGCCTGGTTAATCACATCGAAACAAAGATTGTAAATGAGTCACAAGTCAGGCATAAGAACAATACTACAAACAATGCATACCTAGAAATTAGGTGTGACAAAGATAATTCATACAATGACACTCTCCTTTTCTTCATTGTTTGCAAGAACCTCATTTAGTTTTCGTTCCAATTCAACCATATACAACTTCATCCGTTTTTTAAAATATTTATTTGACTTTCGTTCAGCAATTTTCTACTTCTTTTTTCTCCACTTATGAAGTTTTACACCACCCTACATATGTATCTTTTGGCCTTCTTTGTATGTAGCCAAACAATTAGTGTTTTTAAAAGATACAGTAAAACGCTTAATGAACAAATCCATGAGGGAGGACTTCTTCTTACCATAGATCGAGGTTTGCAGAAATCAGGATGAATAAAGATTTCTCTGCAATTACCTCTCATGAAGATGCTATTTAAGTAGCTCTTCTTGCCACATATATTCATCTTATCATTTTGATTTCTATGCAATATGAAACGTCTCCTCCATCGTTGCGTAACACTTGGAGCTATGATATACGAAAATATAGATTATTTAAACCAACTGAATGTCCTGCCGACATCCTACTTTTGCAAAATCACTTTTCCGCAGTAAAATGAAAAATGTAGCTGATCCAGAATCGATTACAAATTTAAAAAAGATCATCACATATAACGCGACCGAAAGGAGAAGCGGCTATGAAAGATAAAAATGATTGTTTATTACAGATAATTAACAGTTATCGTTAATTATCGATATTAATAATTAAAGTTGACGGTAATTACTATGGCTCGCATTCCGGATACCCTTCTTATGGCTTGGAGACGGCATCACTTAACAAAGCTAAAAACAGCAACGGAAATGAAAACTTGAATATTAGTATTAGGAGCGAATTGGGTCAAACGCTGTTCTAAGAGAGATTAGAGTATCCAATTAAAATGAACGACCGCCTACAAAAAACTTTTAAGATAATGGGGCCATTACCAAAAAATGGATCATATCCGCCTTGGAGAGCGGATATTGAATGCAAAGCTTAACGACAGACGGCCACCAGAAATACCTCCAACAAGACAGAAAGCTTCCGTTAGAACTGACATAACATCGAAAGATTCAAATGTGAGCACACATTTATTCGATCCAGGTGAAATGACTGCATGATACTCGGTGCCGTATTCAATGCGACTGGATAAACAGAAGAACTACAGTTGTGATATAACTATATATGATATAAATTAATACAGTTATCAATTAACCTGTTTTAAAACTTAGTAAACGAAGAATTTAATGCATTTACGCGGTAATTACCTAAAATAAATGATGCGACAGAGCCCGTTGTAAGGCTACTGGCAATAAGTATCATAGCATGCGTCGGCCGCAACTTGCCGTCAGATACCCATCCCAGAACGACCGTGAAAACGGCGGCTAGAAAGGCGACGACACATGCCTGCACCTAAAACCGATAAGAAGCTCGCATAATTGCACAGTTGCATGCAGATGATATTTCTGCATTTACCTGAATGAGAGAGAGATTGCTGACCACCTGCTTCCATTTTTCTCGGCCACGGTCCAATTTTCCAAGGTTTGCCTATAGCATCATAGCTGGCTTATGGGGAACCCATCAATAAACTTTACTTTAAAAAGCTTTCAGAAGAAAGAGCTGTGTCTGTTTATACTGTGAATAGATTCAGATCTAGAGCAAAATCTGAAAAGTTGATATACTGAGATTTATCACAGCTCCCTCTAATGCTGCCATAAATATAATAACATTTAGTCGAAACATTTACAAAATTCGGCTAGTGTTTTATAATAGAGAATATCATCATCGATATAAAAAAAATTCAGACAATCATTACCGAATATCATCAGCGGAGGGTCATCTACATCTTCCTTCTTTTTAACTAATCTGTCCCATAGAATGGTTTTGAGAAGGTTCACATAAACTGCAATATTCCACGAATGGAAAACACGAGAGTCGTCACGCCGACTCGTTTTCTTTTTGCCCCGGCAGTATTATAAAAAATGAATGTTTACGAACGATCACGAACTGAGCAATGACCTCCAACTCGACATGGATCGTTTCGCTGTTACATGTGATGAAATCGAAATAAAAATCAGCCAAGCGTACTTTTCCGGTTAAGTGGACTGCAACTGGAGGAAGCAAGAAAGTTTAAGAATCCTGACAAAACCTTCATGAGTGACGGCAGGTAGCATGGAAATACACTTATGAATCTCGCCAGACGAGCACAGTAACTCAGAAAATATCAATCCTCAAATCTACATAGGTATTTGGTCTCCTGTGTGTTGTTCGATAATGATCAAAACAATGTGATCCTGTTACAGGCGGTAGAAATGATTATTCTTCGAAAAACCGATCGTGAGATGAAAGTGGACAAGGCTCCGAACATGACATTTCAAGACAGTCTTGATCCGCTTACGATCCGTTCGCTCACCAGATCGGGAGTTCATAACTGCGATAGTTTGGGTGCTTGATCAGTTGTCAAAGTAAACGCTCATAGGATGGGCTTTTCGCACAACCATGAGGAACAGAGGTAATGGCTAAGACCGCAAGCCGGATAGTTTGATGATGTAGAAGAGCTGAATAACATACCATGCCTTAAATTTTAGACCACTGAGCTTCTCCGTTCCGCAACGAACCGCAACCATGGGAAAGGACTATTACAGCAGCTGCCTACACACCCGAACAACTTAATAGCGGGATTTGAAAATGAATGAATGAACTTACACCCTGACATAAAAGAGGAAGCTAAAAAAATAAATATTTCCGCGGCGCAAAAAAACAACGCTTTTCGAGATTGCGCCAAAGAAATAGGCACCACCGGAGGCGAAGCGAGAGGCAAACAAAAATCCAAAAATATAGAAACTGCTATGAAAAAAAATAAAAGATTTACGGAAGTACTTTTCGTTGTTCGTTACGATTACAGTAATGAGCGATCGTATGACTAAAGAGATTTTGTAGACATCTATCCTGTGAAATAGAACTGTATTCTGTCTGGGATCCTTGAGGCTCAGGATGGGCAATACTTTCATTATTTTGCTCCAATTCACACAGTTCGCTTCTACGGAAGGCATCTTCTGTGGAATAAGATTTCTGCAATTTGGCGACCCGTTTACCTTCTTGACAGTTCTGGTAACTATGATTATTGCGTCGGACGTTAGCAACGCCACGGTAGCGTTTGCGACGATTTTTGGCGATCCGATTCATCAATTACAGGACGCCATGGACAACTGCAAATTGAACGTGATGACGACGCTATGTACACATGAACGCTAAGCTGTTTCACCTAATCCGGATCCTTAAGGGCCATAGCACGTCCAGAAACCTGGCCTAATCGAACTTGTCATAAACTTGTCAGCCTGGCTCGTTATAGAAGTATATTCCATCGTTTCTGTCCTTTTTCGATTTATATCATTTTTCGTGCTTAACCTAGAGGAAACTTGCTCATTAACCATTCAGGCATCGATTTTCAGTAGGCCAAAAATTATCAAAGGCCTACGGCGAAAAGACGAACTTTTTCGATATTGACTGTGTCCTCTCCTGCGTTCTATTCAACTTCATCGTTGGTTGGATAACGCGAACAGCACTGAAAGATTGCGCTGGCGTCGACGACGGAGTCCTGGTCACTGCATCACTGATTCTGACACGTCGAAGACATCGTCATTATGTCATTGAACGATGACAATGCCCACTATACCGTTAAGCGAATTCATTGCATGGTTACAAAAGCGGAACTAGTTATTAATGAAGCAAAAGCAAAAACATTTCCCCAAACGCCCCGGAACAAGAAGAGAAAAACTTTATCATCTGTGTGCTCTTCTCCATGAAGAAGTCACTGCTTTCAAATACCTTAACTCCTAAATCTTTCTCCGTGGTTAGTCTAAAAATTAAATTACGGCTCAGATAGCAGCAACAAAGGGAGATTTTCCTCCAGCAGTGGCAGATCAGTTCAAAAAAGAAGAGCAGAATTCTGCAGGCCGTCATCTACGTTCATTTATGGACGTGACAGCTGGGCTCTAAGAGTTGGAAAAGTGAAAAAACTACAATCACTCGAAGATTAGTGTTGCAAATGATCTCGCGGTGTTACAAGATTTATCGGTTAAACATCAAATGCCCTCATTTCTGCTTGTCGCAGCAACATCCAACTCTACTTGAAAGAGGACGACTCAGTTGGCTAGGACACGTTCTGAGATGTCAGTCAGAAGATATCACCTTCATTACACTGAACGCCACCCTGATTCTCAGATGGCCAAGGAAAAGAGGGGCAAACACGCTAAAACAGTGGAACATTGCCAGAGCTGACGTTGAAGTCCTCTTTGTACCGAAAATATACGGGAACAGATAGTGGAAGAAAGTTTGACTGAACAGTTGGCAGGCAATGTGTGTGATCGACAGAGGTGGAGAGTGGCAATCCGGGACTTCATCTGAGCTGGATACAGTCATAATCCATGAAGATGACAGTCATAACAACAACAACAACAACATATCAGCATCATTTACGCTCTTACCAAAGTCGACAGCCGCGAAGCCAGTGTCATTTCCAAATTGCCTTTGAGACCTAACAGGGCCGGAACCAGAATAAAAATTTCTGGAAGTTGAACGAATACTTCCCAGTGCTAAAACAACCGTCAGTCATGTGAACCAATATTGAAATATAGCATGGATTACTTGAACAATGTCCAACACTATACCGGCCAACACCGTGCCGCACCCAGCGATTAGAAATGGAATGCATACCTGGATGCCAATCATCCACGGCTTCTCGGCAGTCACTTGCGACACAGCAGCACTGACTGAGAAATCCGCCTTAACCTCGCTTTCTTTTTGTTCCAAGTTGCCATCGGTCTTCAAGGAATAGTCATTTTTATCGTCTGATGGAATCAATCTAGTCAACTCGGTTGCTTCTTGATCATAGCTACCATTCAAGTCACTGTCCACATATTCCACTTGAGCATTTTCCTTGAAGGACGTAACACATATTTAGTTCAGTTAACTTCGATTGGATATAAAAAACTTTTGTTCAACAGAGATGACAAAAAATACTAAATCATAAGATGCTATAATGACGTACAAATGATTGTATTTGCTCAGAGGCGAGATAGCCTACTGCTGAATAACTTGAAAGTAATGCGGGAGCCCACTCTGGTAGGCTGAGATGATGGTGTGTTGCTGACCATTCGCCAGTATCATATCTGTTCATGACCAAAACCTCACAAACATGACCTCCATCTTCCTTAAACTGGATGGAGATTAGGAAAATATTGGCAAACAATCGTACCCAAAATGAACTGCCGAAAAACCATTCACTAAAAACCGATCAAGAACGGTTGGATGAGTGTTTAATTCCGCTTGCAT